TGCATGAGAACAGTTGCGGAAAACTTCTAGCGATTATTATTTGTTGCTGAAACTTTTTGCAGTTTAGTAACTTTGCTTAGACTTCTTGTCTTCTATTGCTACGTGACTGCAACAGACTTCAGCAATTCTATCGAAGGCCTGTTCTATTTTAAGCAACACCTTGCCATTCCCCTTAATAATGCTGGCTCCATTTCTACAGTACACCTTCTTCTACGAGTGTTTTCGTCGCTTGGAAAGTATTATTCGGCGGCGCATGGCACCACATAAGAAAAAATATTGTAAATTTTTCGTTCTTTGTGCGACATTTTTCACACTGTCCCAGTTCTTTTTGCAGTCATTACAATGAGTTATCACTAGAGAAAGCTAGGTCGGAATGCGAGAAGGGTGTTCAGGAATACGTAAGGGAATTACAGGAAATCTCAGTAAGCTATCGACGATCATATTTCTTTCTTTATAGAGTTAGTCAGACATTCTTTTACTTATTGCAGAATCGGACGATAAATGCGGCGAAGGAACTAGTTGAAAGAGCTAAATCAACCCATGAAGCACTAGCGAAGTGTGAAACTGCACTGAAAAGTGTGAAAATACGTTGCAATTTGATTTCAGAATTCGTTGAAACAATCCTGCCTTAACGTCAATGTCACTTCATGTTTATTTCAGAGATTTGTTGCGTGTGTGAATAACTTTACTGATTTCCAGAATGGAAGCCCAATGAGAGGACGATCTGTAAGAAGGTCCCGAACGCCAGCCGAGAAAAGGTGAACATTGATTCTAAGCCCACAAAGTAAATCTTCTTGTGTATGGATCAAAGAAGGTCGATAATGGGAAGCCAAAAAGGACGCGAAATAATAGATTTGCTAGAAAATAAAATCCCTCGCCAATTCATGTTTTTCCCTCACTCCTTGGGTGAACCATTGACTGCGACGAAGACCTGTTTTCGCCAAGGACTTCGACTGCAAAAGCACTTCTCGTCATATAATCACTTTAGCGCAGTGGTTAGTGGGGCTTTGTAAAAATATAGGATCAATCCCGCGTAGCTGATCCGAAAGGGCTTCCATCAATATGGGGTCGGATAATTGGTGCCAAACTCCGGAAATTCGCTTATTTACTGCAGGAATCGACGACAAATACGGCAAAGGAAGTTGCAGGGCGAGCCAAATCGTCCAATGGCGCACCGGCAAAGCGTGAATTTGGAGTAAAAGGTGTGAAAATACGTTGCAATTTGATTTCAGAATTCGTTGAAACAATCCTGCCTTAACGTCAATGTCTCTTCACGTTTATTTCAAAGATTTGTTACGTGTGTGAATAACTTTACTGATTTCCAGAATGGAAGCCCAATGAGAGGACGATCTGTAAGAAGGTCCCGAACGCCGGCCGAGAAAAGAACAACGTTGATTCTATGCCCACAAAACTGAATCTTATTGCGAACGGATCAAAGAAAGTCGATAATGGGAAGCCAAAAAAGTCGTGGAATAATAATTTCATTAAAAAATGAAATCATATGTCAATTCGTGTTTTTCCCTTAATCCTTGTATGCCGCATTGATTGCGACGAAGAACTGCTTTCGTCACAAGGCTTGGATTGCAAAAGCATTTTTCGTCTTATATTCAGAAGAGAAGCAAATATTCTCTAGTCGCAGCTCTTCGTTGGTGCTCAGCACGTGAGTGAGCAGTGTTCTTGTATTTTAAGAGTCGTAGTGGGTCCCAGCACAGTTAAAACCTGAATGCTACGCTGCTTGTTTGGAACACTGCTGAGAGAATGGGTTTCACTCCTGCGTACATTAAATTAGATGCCATCTGAATAAATGGACGAAAGCAATAGGAAATTATGTTGGAAAGCTTCATAGAACTACTGCTTCCGGCAAAAAATCTTACATGATATTGCATGATTTGGGCTTTATAAATAACTTGAACCAAACACCTATACTCGATCGTTCTTTATCGGACCGATATTAAGAATCCGATTTCTATGACTGGAATATAACCAAGCTCTTTAAGAAGCCTGTTAGTTCGTAACTACTTCTTTAACCGCCTATGTGCAACGGAAAACTGCGTAATATGGCCTAAAGGTGGTGAAGGTGATTGCATGGGTTCGGGTTCGGTTTATCTGGTCTTTGTGAAGCTTCCGAATGGAAATGTATATGCGGAAATTGGTAGACCACTATATTTACTTACAAAAATGAGCAGAGAAGGTAAGCCTGGAGCTGAGTAGAATTCTCTACAAGGACAGCTTATGACGCAGACATTCAACGGGGAAGATTTCGAAATGGAATTCACCGCCCTCGCGAAGGAAGCTAATACTTCAGGATGTAAATCCATCGAAGTGTTCTATTACAACAATTCGAAAATGATATTTAGGAGAAAATTTCCTGTTCTCAAGCAGGTTCTTCACAACATTTACAACTGATATTTAACATGAGAGCGGCACATTGCCCATCTATGTGAACTCTACATGGCTGATGTTCACGTATATACTCGGTAGAAATGTCACGTAAAGCGGTAAGCCTGTAAAGAAGCTGTAGGTATCATGGCTTTTCTTTCGGAAGTGCTCAGTGGTTTACCTGAATAAATCGCATTCGGCTTAACCCTTCCCTGTTCTGGAAAAGACGAAATCTTCCGAAAAGTCAGCCGCTGTGAATAAATAATATACAATAGCAATCTTGCGTATAGTGATCAAGAAAATAGCAAGGTGTTTATCAGTGTCGATGTCGGCAGAAAGTCGGTTTTGGGAGTAAAAGATTTACTCACCGACAAGTTATGCAACGTCTTGGATCTTCTCAAGAACTGCTCGGTTAGTTAGATGGCCCGCCCTCACTGGCCGTGTGAGCCCCAGTACAAACTGCATTTTTCGGAGTGCTGCTGATTAACCATTGTGTTTTCCCGAAGTCCTGAGGTCAGCCTGGCCAAAGTCTGCCCCAAGTGGTTACCACCACAGGCAGTCGCCGCCCTTGTGGATCAGAGGAAGAATTGCCACCACACGACAAGTTTGGTACCAGAACGTTGGTGGATTATGGTATTCGTTTGCTCTTAGCTGGACTTGCTAACTCAAACGCAGGAAATCTTGTCAACTTGGGAGACCTTGCTGGGGCGATGAATCCCTCAACTGTGCATCGCAGTCCGACACCAAGGAACAACTTATAGCCGTGTTGAGGAGGTGAACCACTATTGCTGCTATCGAAATCGGCTTATTGCTAGAGCGGATTAGTTTTTTTTTTTTGCTGATACTACACTGATTTTAAACATCTGGAAACATCTAAAAAGCATTTGCATTTCATCATTATTCATTCAACAGTGGAATTTACAAAAATGTGATAAATAGTATTCTATTTCTTCACAAATCTCAGTTTTTCAATTTTTGAGTGGACAACCGCTCACATACTTTCTCCTCTACCGAGGAATAGAGATAAGCATAAGCGACGATTGCAATGCGCAACAGACAGTGTTTAGCTCCGAAACGGCCACCGATGTTAAGAAGTAGTGCACATAAGTTCATTGCTCAATGGTCCACCCAAGTATGAATTGGTTTATTGCATCTTCGTCTCTTTGACAAACTACGTTGGTGAGTAATTTTCAGATGGTCCCAAGACAGTAAAACGATAGTGAGCAGTTGCACTAGATGAAAAATTGAAATTTCCTAGGATATTTCAGAATCAGTACTCATTATTAGATTACGTAATTGCCATGTTATTTCGATCAGTCGGTCGCGTCTGGTTGAGTGAATGTTGGTTACATTACATAAATTATACATCAGTTCATGGGAGGCTTGCAGCATAGTGCGACACACACGTGGAATCAATCCCTGTGCCCATGTCCCACTAAACTTTCCATTCTGGAGCCGGCATATTGGTACCAGACTTGTCTGGGCGAATAGCAGCACTGACTGATACATCGGCAGGTCACCGCGAGTAATAATTGTAAAGGCCATTCAATCACCTCCAACGATACCTAGTGGAGTAGAATGCATGGCTCATCCCTCAAGGATTCATCAACGTCGAGAACTTTATCCTTTATCATTTTTTTTATATATCAGTTCAAGAAAAGAATATTGGCAATGACTTGAAAAACCACCAAGTGTCCTTGTTTTTAAATTGATATTGCCAATTCCACATAAGAATTTATTGACAGATTCCTCTGGAAATCCGAAGCGACAATCCGCTATTATGTATATGATTTTCGTATATGGTGGCGTTCTCTTTCCAATGTTCCCTAAACGATTTACTACATTCCTTTGTCTATATAACTTTTATTGCATGTTGTTTTATGATTTCGAAACAAAGGTGCCTTTTTGTGCATATTCTGATAGATTTTCTATAAAGTACTGCGCTTTTAATAACTCGTAGTTTCCTTGCTAAGCGCACAAGGAGTTCTTACTGTACTGATTAATATCGAAAGAAGTTATACTTCGGCATATTTCGACCTTTTCAAAGCCTAGAAACAGAAGCCAATAAGGCCAGATTTTAATCGCATTGCGAATAAGGCACCTTCCTAACGATTTAACCACATGTTATGAGTACCTCGATCGAATATTCCACGAGGTGATAATACCCGGATGGTTCGATGCCTGGATGATTCGTTTTAAGTGGCTGTGTGGGTCTTAGCACAATTTCCATTTTCTGGAGAGTTGCTGATTTAGCTATTACGTTTTTTGGAGTCCTGAAGTTAGTCTAGTCGCAGCTTTCCTTCGGTCTTCACCAACCCGGGCAGCCGTTGTCTTTGTGGATTAGAGAGAGAATTGCTACCATGCGGCTAGTTTGACACCGAGATGGTGGTGATTCCTTATATTTGTTTACTATAGCTGTCCTTCCGGGCAGAAACGTCGAATATCTTTTCAGCTGCGCTTGCTGGGATGATGAACCAATACGGTAGTGGATCTTGGTATTGATTCATTTCTGGCACCCTTGTGGATCACTGGGAGATTGGGAGATTTGCTACCGTGCGACTAGTTTAATGCCAGGATAGTGGCGGATCCTGATATCTGTTTACACTTAGCTGGAGTACCTGATGAATCGCGAATCGCCGGACTCCTCAGCTTGGGAGCTTGGGAGACCCTGCCGCGGAGTGGAGGGTGAAGAACCTCACTGTCCGGTGTATATCGCAGCCCGATACCCAGGAACACCTCCTAGCCACGATGAGACGGTAAACTGTTGAGAGGTATAACTGAATCAGTGTTGCAGAAAATTATAATGGAAACGAAGTTCCATGTACTTTAGAAAGATATTGCGGACAGTGGAAGTTCTAAGCACTCGCTGGAGGTTCCACGAGTTCACTTCCAGAAGTCGCGATTTCAGTGTTCGTCATTTGATTACAGTTCTCAGGCTACTACTCGTCCAGCCACAGGTTTATATTCCACGATAGATATTTCTGCGAGTTCTGTAGACGACTTGCTAGCTCACACTTTGTATTTTTCTCATTGTCATTGAATTTAAGCCTTCCTTCTTCATTTGCACACCAACTGTTATGGTAGTCCTGGAGTCCGACTCTGGCATCTGATTTCACTTTTTATCATACCGACTATTTTATCCCTTAGCAGTCACCTTTCAGTGTTCAATGTTGTTAGTGTTGATGGCATCCTATGGAGGAGAAAGCAGTTCTGGACCATTATAGCTGTTGGAACTTAGTTTATTCACTCGACGAATGGAAAGCAACATCAAACAATTCCTTGTTTTTAATCGAATTTAAGCAAATGTCGGTCCAATGTTTCCTGTACACTGTTAACGCGCTCCAATGCATCGTTGTTTGTTTGCTGGCGCAACACTAAATATTTCGAAATCCTTCGCACTGCACTGTCTGTGAGCCGGTCCTGAGATGTCTTCTAAGGTTGAAGTCTAAGAGACCCAAGTTATTGTCATTTCAGTTTTTCTGTTTTCAAATTACAGTGTGGAAGAGTTGTCCACCCACACAGTACTCTGGTTTTAGTTGTTTTTTATTTCGTCTTATGCTTTCTCACTGAGTTTTTTGTTGCTTTAAGTTCCAATGGTATTAGAGAGGTGTGATTTTTTTTCATTCTATACCTTAAAGAATGTTAGGTGTTATAGTTTGCCAACTTTATGCGTCGATCTCTCTATATGACGTGCAGAAGCTGCTGGTTTCACAAGGCTCTTCAATGAATGCTTTGAGCTTTTCAGGTTCTGAAGCGATCGTCATGGAAGGATATGATGTCCGTCGTTTGACCTTGGAAGTGCCTTCTGATAAAGATGGTAGTTTTAATTCTAATAGCTGTATTTCTTGTTTCTTCGTTTTCTATAGGAAAGTTTTGGAAATTTCTAGTTTACTTTTCGTATAAGAAAACTGAAGAAACGTGAACCCAAACACCATAGTGGGACCAGGCATAAGGAGACTATTTCTGACTTGAAAGTACCCAATACCCAGCAGCCTCTATCACTTTGGAAATGTTTTCCGATTGTTCCTAGATTTAACAGTTTGTCATAAATGACAAGTTATCTTCTGGTTCTCCAACTTTCTTTTAACGAACTTGAATTTTGGGGCCTCTTCTACAATATTTGGGCCCATAAAGGCACTTAGATTAAATGGAATAAATTCTACCGTCCCATTGATTCTGTCTTAGTGCAAAGATTAAAGGAGTCTAAAAGTTGATTTGAAGTCTTACGGACCAGAAAATTCGCTTGTCATGTGGGTGATATGGAATGGTTGTTAGACCATTCAGCTCACAATGGTCTGGAATCTCTTATAGTAGAAAATATATTTTAAAAACCTGACATAGTTTGTAAATGGTTTCGCTTGCGTTAAAGAGGACGATTCAACGCTTCCTAGCTTTGTTTATAACTCACATATGTTTCATTTAGTCCGCTATGCTGAGACGACGTTCTCTAAGTCTTGAAAACGATGAGCCGGCTTTGACCTCTGGTGGTATACCTCAGGTGAGAAATACCAGTCTCAAGCCGAACTGAGCTGCAGGGCTTCTCGAACCTGCCTCAGTGTATTTAGCAGCTCTACATTGTTTTTTTTGTCTTTTTTTACGCACTATATTGCGAATAAGTCGTAGCAGGCGAATGGCTAAAGGAAAGTGTGCGGCTAACTTGAACAAGTATGAGGCTTAAAACGGATAGCGTTCCTTAACCATGTTAGTCGGTAAACAACCTCTAATTTGTTGCTGATTCGAATTGCTTGCCAGAAGCAAAAGAAGTGCTTCAAGTTCACCACTGATTCGTTGAAATCCTTTTGTCATATTTAATAGATTCTATCACTTGTTCTTCTCGCCTAGTTTCTTTCAAGCATCGTGTGTTAATGTGCAGCAGGTCACCCTAAAGAACCAGGTTAATCTAGCCATAAATGCTTTGGATGCACAGATCAGCATGAAAAGTGTTTTTATCATTTTATGGTATCGCGAGGGAAAATATACGCGTTTATCACCTAACCCCTCCTTTTGGTCCCGTAGTGTTATTTTGAAATTCATTTCGTCCTTGTCTGTTCAGAATTCGGTGTTGGCCCATCACACTGGAACTGCAGATTCGTCAGCGTCTGGTTTTGCGAATCATCGCGAAACTCGAGAAAAAGGATTTCATGCAACCTAATTTCCATTCTTTCGGAGTTTTCCTGGTTTAGCCATTGTGGTTCCTTGGGTTCCCGAGGTCAACCTAGCCAAGGTCTGCCCCAGGTCGTCACTACGACGGCCAGTCGCTGTCTTTGTGGATCAGGGGAAGATTTGCCACTATGCGACTAGTTTGAGACCAGGACAGTGGTGGATCCTCGTATGATTTACTTTAGCTGTAGTTCCTGATAAAAACGCCGAATTCCTTCTCAGCTTGGGAGACCTCGTTGGGGGATGAATCCACCTTTGTACATCGCAACCCGACACCCAGGAACACCTCTCAGCGACGATGAGGCGGCAAACGTTTAGAGGATATTTCTGGTATAGTGCATATATCTAAAAAAATCAGTTGTGTTAAGGATTGTTTAACCTTTCTTGCATTAAAGACGTTTTCCCTTTAAGTTAAAGGTTATACTGTCAACATTCATTTTTTCTTTCAACTGGCTTCTTTTTACGCGCACGTTGTCGACTCTTTTCTAAAAGGGGCCTTTGTGTACGCTCTACGAATAAAGATAGGGTTAAGTTTTGTTATTTTTTCTCTATGGAATATCCAAATGTTTGGAAAGCTTGTAATCGTCGGATTCACGGTGTATGCTTTTTACCCAGCTTATTTTCTTTCACGGCCATCTTCCTTTAAGATTTCCTCAAAGTTCATCGAAACTTCAGAACTCCTACAAAATGCGGTGTTTCATCGCTCAAGTTAGGTTAATTTGGAATACAATTGTTAAAATTTCGTTATATCCAATCATCTTTCGGAAGCACAAATGGATTACTTACAGTTGCAGTGTGTTAAAAGTTAGGTGACAGAGAATAAGAATCATCAGTGAGCATCACTTCAAGACCTATGATATTCGTCCGACAGTCGTGAGAATTGCTTGAGCATTCGACCATCGCTGAATGAACCGTGGATTCGAGTTAGCCAGTCGTGTTTGTTCGTTGTCACGGCTTCATGAATAAATGAAACCGTGATTTGTTTGTTAGCTGTTTTTCGGGATATATGCCCTTAATGATTGAGTTCATTATCTCTGTTCCATTTCTTTATATGTCAGAGGGTTCTTGTGTGATAACTGGTTTTATTCCAATGCTTCAAATCCAATTGTTTATTAGGATGTCTATTTTCAGGGAAATTCTTAATGGCCGTTGGCATGTTCTTCCGGCCACAATGCCTGGAATATCCTCAACTGCAGCACCTCATAATGATTCAAACATCAGCGCTCGGTCAACGATCACTGGGGGGTATAACTTAAATCTGCACATCTCTATTGTATTCTGGCCTGTTCTCGTTTATTGGTATCAGTCGCTTCCAGACCCAATGGTAAAGTAAGAAGAACTTTCCCTAAGAAAGCATCAAGCTATAGGATATTTGGAAATAAATTGTAAGTTCTTTACTATGTGGTATATTGGTGTGTTGAGATATAACTACCAATAGCATTACGATGTAGGATATATGACAGATAACCTTTGTAGCGTTCACTTTCCAGCAATTATAACCCTTAGCCGACACCTCTTCCTTACAGGAAAGCTATTCATGTATACATTTTATTTATCTGACTCTGTCAACTACCTATGATAGTGTTTCTCAAGAGCGCTGTCCTTTCGAGGTCATTTGATCACTATTTATGTTCTTCACTATTCATCATCATCACAGGTGTTGACAAGAAAAATATGCAATCTAGACCCCTTTATCGCACAACGTATTATTTTGTGAAGGCTACAATTTTAAGGAAAGTTAAGTCGAACAGTTTTTACACTCCCTTCTTTTTAAAACTTTTTTTTAAACAAATTTCGGAATTGCTTACGCTAGTCCTTGAGTTGTCTAGTTCAGTTAACTGTGATGATAATAACATGTAGGAATGTGGCATAATATGATAATAATCATTCGTACCATCGTAACAAAATAGCATTATGAAGTGTCTGCACAGCAAAGATGAAGTGAAATACTATTTTAGCACACGAAGGCCTCGGAGTTATCAGGATTGGAGGTCCTGGAACTGTTCGCCCTATAAGACTCATGGAGGCTCGAGGTTCTTGGACAGGCCCAGGCCATACGACCACTTACGAGGACAGCGAGAATGAGTGCTATTGGTTTCACAGCGAGCAACTGTTTTTCTTCATTACTAAAACGTAAGTTCTCTTCCTCACCAGCATTATCATTTTCGTTTATGCCAGAAGTGTTCCTCCAAGACCATGTAGTTCCAACTTATGGGCGTGAATTGTCAAGTGGATAGAATGGGTTGTGGGCACCTGGTCCTGGAATTTTTTTAAAAACTTTTCGTATCTAGTGCTTTATTTTTGTGCTATTCATGTGATGTACTGCTAGTACTCTTACTAAGTGAAGTATTTATTGGTCAGCTTTATTAACAATAAAGTCTTGCACACAGGAGCGTAGTCATCAGAGTGAATATGTTATTGCAGCAGAAATATTTTTCTTCTGTGACATGCAAGAGCGACTGTCCTAGTTTTTCCTTTTTTGCTTCTCTCTGTCAGGCTTCTGTGTCGTAATCTGCAATCAAAACTTAGATTTCTCTTTTGAAAAATTTTCCGAGTCGACGATGGAGCTGTTGTTTCCTATCTGCAGTCTCTACCTTAACTGAGTATAGGCTTTACCTCTAGGCCGCTCTAGTGTTCTTCTTTGTTTACTGTCGACAGAAACCGATTAATTTTGTAATTTCCACATATTGATTTGCGTTTAGTGACCGTTACCCAATTCTTTGTTGTCATCTTTACTCCAACTTCTTTCTTATTTCAAAGACGTTGTGATCCACTTGGATATTTCAGTTGTTCAGGGTGTTTTTAATGTGTGTGGTACAGGAAATGAATTGACATTCCGAGCCAGAGTACCGTAGTTGCGAACTGTTTTGTGAATGCTGGTGAGAAGCTTTGTTTTACGAGGTAATACTTATTGCTTGAGGTTTGCCATAGACAACCTTTTATGGTTTACGCACTACGTGCATTGGATTACATGCAGAGGACTTTTTTCCACTGGCTACCACCTCTGTCACTATGATCAGCCATTAAAAAGAAACATTAGTAAAAACGGTGAGTGTTGTCCGAACCATGCATAGATTAATGGGATGAAGTTGTATGGTTTACGACTGGAGTGCCTGTTGAGATAGGGATGGGGCAAGGGTAGGGGGAAGAAATGTTAAGAAGGAAAGACAAGAAATGGGAAAGTGGGAAAAAGATATGGGAAACAAGCTTAAGGATGTTCATTAAAAATGGAAGAAGCGGATAGTTAGCCAAATAAGTACGACACATTTCTTTATTATAAGGCTTTTTGTTGATTTAGCTTATGTATTCGAGATACTGTGATCCTTATGCTGTCTTTCTTTCACTTTTAAAGATCTTTGTGCACACTTCAAGATATGCCTTCGTGTAACTTGTGCAGTTATTTTTCAGCAGTGGAAATCTTCGTTTTTATTCATTCGCGGTGTTTAAAATTCACTGTTATCCATATTTCGCCTTTTTCTTTGTCAGATAGCACGTTGAGTTAAGCGTAATGTAGCCTTTAAGTTTATAACGGATGCAATCCAAAGTACTGCGAATTTCCAGAAGGATGGGGTTTGCTAGCACATCATACACCAGTTTTTCATCTGGGCTCCCACATGTTTCTTTCCTTCGCGCTATCGCATGGGTCTGTGTGTTTCCACGTTATTGATAGTCGAAGAATACGAATGAAATCCCAAGCCGAGAAAACTTAACAATGTCGCGTTGTCGTAAACGCATTGGTTAAGCACAAAGTACACTTTATATCTTTTTTTTAATCAACAAAATAACACGACTGTGCAGTTGCATATCGCCATATGCACAGTCAAACCGAACCCGCCAAGTTTATGTGGGACTACAGTTGAATGGTTGGGAATAAAGACGCCATAAGCGCTGATTCGTTTGACATCAGTTTCTACTACGCTGATTTAGCAGATGCCTTCTTTATTTAAAAGGACGTATTCATGCATACGTTTGTGGGTGTTTTCTTGTTTACGCAGATTGTCATTTCGGCCAAAAGCTTGCAATCAAGTGACAAGAAAGTGTATGGGAGGCGGTTAGTGGACGCATCCAACAAGTAATCTCCTCTTCTACTCCGGAAGGCAGTAACGTATCCGTATGTATCAAACACTGAACACAATGAAATAAGTAGATCTCATGCTCCTGACACCGAAAGGGTTCTCGATACGACCACGTTGAGTAGGACGAGAACTGAGAGTCTGCTAAAAACTCAGTCATTCTGGCCTGTTTGAATCGCAATGGATCTGTACCTACAATGCACCCACATTTGCACCTGAGTCCTCGATAGAGGACTTGATCTCGAAGGCAGGAACGAGAAGGTTCTGCGTCATCGGACAGGCCCAGGCTAGAAGGCGCCACCATTTCAGCAGCTTCTATGTCACCGGTGAACCGTTTCTTGGAAAGGCGCCAATAGCGGAGCTGGTGTTCGGCGTTTTCGTAAACACGAGTTTGTTCGTGAACATCGATCCAGTCGAACAACTGAAAACTCGAATAGAACGTTTACGATTGAAGAGATGTCGTTCAACACCGGCTTTGACAATCTTCGCCGTTTACGCAGTTTACGCACCAACCTCAAAATATGACGAAGACAAAATGGAAGCATTCTAAATGGGCTTGAAGATGTTCTACAGAGAAGACCATCCGTTACTTACGATCATCGCTGAAGATTTTAACTCTAACATTGGACCCAGAAGAACGTCTGAAGAACGTTACCTTGAGAAGCACATATTAAAATGGAACGAGCATGGTGAGCGGCTGTCTGAGTTGTAATGTCTAGTCGTCATCGGACTCGCTAAGATGAGAAGGTGCTATGTATTCAAGGACGTCTATGACACCGGAGAACTGTGTCTTGAAAAAGGTGCCAATAGAGGAGCTGATGGTCGGAATTCTCGTAAACACGAGTTTGGCCATGAACGTCGATCCACATGAGCAACTAACACCCTGAATTGGGAGTTTGTAGTTGAAGGGATGTGGATAATCACTGGATGTGATAATATTCCTCGTCTACGCACCGGCATCAAACAATGACGAAAACGAACTCGAAGTGTTTCATATGGACTTCGAGATGTTTTGCAGAGAAGGTCATGCATTCCTTAAGGTTAATGTCTTTAAGGCATTATTAGAGATTTTAACGCTAAGATTGCACTCACAAGAATCTGAAGAGCATCGCATTGGGACCCACAGATTAATATGGATACAGGGTTAGCAGCTGTCTGAGTTTATGACAACAACCAAGAACATTCATTGTAACTGGCAATTCCAGAAGCGCCACTTGCAACTGTGGACATGAGAGTCTCGCAATGGAGAGTGTAGAACATTACCTGGATCACTTGTAATCCCGTTGATCGTCGAGTGACTCGTGCGGGCGCCAATAATTCTTCTATTTTTTCCATGTCGAGTGCAAGAGTAGTCCAGTGGGTTCTCTACTTGCTGAAGGGACTCGTCGAACATCATAACTATCTTCAAGGCTCGTTGTGAAGAACTCTGGCCATCGGGTAGGCGGTCTTCCCTCAGTGAGTTTACCATCTCTAGGAATTCAGTCACTAACGGCTCTTGTCCATCGGTTGTCATTCATGCGCATTACGTGTCCAGCCCACCTTATATTCGACTGTTTGGCGTGCAGAGCGGCATCTTTGATTTTTGGTCGTTGACGCAAGTCAGAGGCTTCGGATCCTTTCCCTTGCGTGACATGGCATACTCCTAACGCCATCCTTTCCACTGCGCGTTCGATAACGCTGAGTGATTTTTTATCCTGTTTACGCTGCGACCGGGTATCTGACAAAAACGTTAATGCAGAAAGTACTTTTGAGTCGAAAAGGTGGGCGCGGAGTCGGGTGGTCATTGTTCACCTCACTACTTCCTCGATACTTGTGATAGCTCCTCGAGCTGCTCGTTTCCTTTTGCGCAACACTGGAGATAAGTCGTTCACCATGTTGATTTTGCCAAGCTAGATAGACACAACTGGAGCATTCGGAGATGTTCGTTCCGTTGAGCGTGAATGTGGCATACGATAACAATCTGTTCCCCACGAACATCGTTTTTTTGAGATTTAGTCGAAGACCAATCTTTCCACAGGTTTTATCAAAGTCGCCAAGTATACGTTCCGCCTGGCTAACGTTTGGTATAATAAGGACGATGTCATCAGCAAAACGAAGATATTGTAACTGCCGACCATCGATTTTCACTCCCATATTATCCCATTCCAATGTTCGCATGACGTTCTCGAGGGTGGCGGTAAATAATTTTGGCGAGATGGTATCGCCTTGCCTAACCCACTTTTGACGGCGATGTAAATACCGTTGTAGAATGGTGATATCTTGGTTGTGAAATTTTTGTAAAGCTCACGAAGAATCTTTGTGTACTGAGTAGGGACTCCTTGACTATCCTTGATTCCAAAACTGCTTCCATCTCAACTGAATCAAAGGCCTTCTGTAAATCGATGTAAGTTAGACAGAGCGGTCTTTTGTACTTTCGGGATATTTCAATGAGCCGTGTTACCGTGTGGATGTGGTCCATCGCACTGAATCCTCTTCGAAACTCTGCCTGCACACATGGTTGTCCTTCGTCTAGTGTTCTGTCAATCCTATTTAGGATGACTCCTGTCGACAAACAGTAAGCAGGTGGGGCGATAGTTGCCGATATCGCGTAGGTCACCCTTCCTGAAGAACAACACGGTCTTGCTGGTCTTCCACTGAGTAAGGACCTTGCATTTAGACAGTTAACGTGTGATGAACCCAGCCAGTGTGTTCACGAGGTCTGGCGGAAGGTTCTTCAGGTGTTCTGGTCTTGTCCTGTCCGGACCTGATGCTGTTCGATTTTTCACCGACGAAATGGCATGTCGGATTTCGGAAGGGTCAAGCGGTACAATTTATCCATCCTTTATTTTGCATCATGGAAGGTAAACGTGGCTGTCCAAGAGATCTGAGTAGTATTCGTGGACGATTTTCTCTATTGCTTTTCTGGACGCTGTAACTGTTCCGTCTGGGCGCCGGAGAGTAGTCATTTTGGTCTTGTAATTGGTGAAGCTTCGGTGGGCTTTGCAAATGCTTTTCCCAGCCCCTGCTGCCTCGACCATTACTGCTGTACTTCTCTCTTTCAGATCATTCTTTTATCGCGTCTGCATTATTTTGCAAGTTCGGACGTTAGTTCGCGGTTGCCTACAGCTCGTACGATTCCACGCTGGCATATCAGCTTGAGTGTTTCTGGAGATAGACGTCTGTTGGTGACTTTCGATCTCTCAGTTTTCATAGCGCTAGTGTGAAGATGTTGAATGAGCCGATCGTATTCTTCGTCGATGTTATCGACAACGGCATCTTCCCAACAGCCAACTAATGAATTGAATAAATCCCAGTTTACGGTGGTTCTGGGAGTTCGGTTTTGGAATCTAGCGGCTTTTTCTCCTTTCCGCGAGGAGTAGAATCTTGCACGAAGGAGACGATGGTCTGATCTCGTGTAGAATTTTGGGGCAACAGCGACATCGGTTAGGCAAAACCTTCTATTTACTATGATGTGGTCTATTTCATTATGGTACTTTCCACTGGGAGACTCCCACGTCCAGCACTGAGGGTGGAGCTTCTGCAATTGCGAGTTACCATGGATTGTCTTGGTCGCCATAATAAACTCAGAGAGCCGCTCACCCTGTTTGTACCATTCTAATCCGTGGGTCCCAATGTGACGCTCTTCAGACGTTCTTCTTGGTCCAATCTTTGCGTTGAAATCTCCAATGATGACCTTGAAAAATGTGTGTTCTTTGTAGAACTTCTCCAAGTCCATATAGAACGCTTCGGCTTCTTTTTGTCGTTGTTTAATGTCGGAGCGTAAGCGACGAAGATTGCAAAGCCGGAATGGATCGGCCTCTTTTTAATCGTAAACGTCCAATTCGAGTTGTAAGTTGTTCGAATGAATCGATGTTCATGGACAAACTCGTGTTGATGAGAACGCCGACGCCTCCGTCGCCTCTACTGTCGCATGTTCCAAGGAACAGTTCTTCTCCGGTGTCATAGACGGCGTTGAAAGGCTGGCGTTTTCTCGTCACGGCTAGACCGATGACGTCGTACCTTATCCTTCTTGCTTGCTTGAGCAAGTTTTCTATCGAGGACTCAGATGCAAGTGTACGTGCATTGTAGGTACTGCTTCTTCAATTGTAAAAGAGGAAATCATTCACGGCTAGTACTTTGATCTCTTCAGTAACCACGTTGTCCTGTCGTCAAACGGAATGCAATGAGGAAGGGTGGATATTTCATCCCATCGTTTCTCTCTTCCGAAGTTCGTCGTGTTATTTACTTCTTAAAGATTTTAACAATACGGAAAATTATTGAATAGCTGACGAACCTTCCACCAGTCGTCGGCCTCCGCCATTGGGTCGGCTGTTCACACAACACCTATTGGAATGCAAGGTTTCTTCTTAGTGGAAGACTAGGAAGGCTGTGTAATTGCTCAAGAATGGTCGCCTTTGCGACATCGGCAACTTGCGCACAATTTGCTTGCCGTCTTTTGTCTATAAACTCTTTACTCGTGTCGTCCAAGAAATGATTGACAGAGCACTGGACGAAGGACAGCAATGTGAGCAAGCAGGATTTAAAGAGGATTCATTGCAATGGACCGCATGCATACAATAATAAGACTCATTGAAGAATCGCGTGAATAAAGCAGGCAACTCTGTCTCACTTTCGTCTGTTTAAAGCAAGTTTTTGACTCAGCCGGTATAAAAGTGCTTATAAAGGCCCTTGAAGACCAGGGCTCTTTTACACGGTGTATAAATATTCTTCATAAGGTATTTAAAAATTCCACATCCAAGATATCGCCATTTTATAGTGCTATTGAGTACGACTTTTGCATAGCTAGTAGATGTCGTCGGAACCGCCAATCAAGCATTCAACAACTCCGACTGGTCTTCCATTTAACTGGACTCCAGCTCAAAGTTGATTTTATTTCGACTTCATGATCTCAGTATGTTGTTCTTGTTTTCGTTTCCGCCTTCTTATGAAATACAATCGCAAGGTTTCGGATATATGAGCAAAACTAGGAACCTCAGTTGGTCTTTGAAATCGCTATTGTCCCTCATCGGGGGCTCACGTTCTATGCACCACACCCACCGAGGCTTTTGCTTTGACTTTATCTTTACTGTATTTGCCACTTAATGAGCTTTGACCCTGGGATACGTTGTTTCTAGAGACCAACTTTCAATAAATCTGAGTATGGATTCGTAAGCTGTTATGTTCTTACGAATTGTTACTACTGAGGTGACCGTTTGTCGATCCATGGGAACTCAGATGATTTCACCTCCAAGGAAGTGAACGTTGAAGGAAAGTGGCCGTTAGATATATGAAGTTCGCCAGAGTGTTAACCATTGTGAACAAAGTTTTTGTGTGGATTTAATGTCACCTTATCAAAAACAGTGCGCAGAACGACGGTAACTGCTTTGATTACTGCGAATTGTTTAGATCTTTCGCTAGGCGAGGACCAAGGAGCGAGCTCTTCACGTCCTTTGTCTGCTGCTGTAGGTTTCCTGAGTTTTGTGAAATGTTTAGAATTGTGCTTTTCTGCTCTGGTAGTTTTCACGAGTTCTCCATTTTTGTTGGAGTCAGCATAATTGATGTATTGTTTTTTATTTAAATATTACGCATCGAATTATTACCAATCCTTTTTCTATGGAGGTTGTTCCTATACTACAGAATTAGTTCTTGCCTCGCTGTGTACCTCATTACGTATTCGTAGGTCCGTACCTACGACACCGACAAGTATAAGCGGCGAAATGTTCGAAGGGATTGTAAACTCCTCGAGGAACAAGGAATTTGCACTTTTTATTACTCGGCGCATCTGACGTACCTACTGCTAAAGAGTCATTCAGGTGAGAAGAGTTAATTTCTAATGCAAGAGATCAAGAGACCCTGTCCACGTGAACATCGAATTTTCTCGAAAATAACCAGTAATGTATTCACTTTGATGTGAGGGTGTAATGATTCGAAATGCTTCTGTCCGTACAGCGTTTATGTTATTTACTTTGTGTCTTTTGTTAATCCCATTATTAGTTTTCTTGTTGACTTCGAGAGCTGCTTTTCCTCTGATTTCTGCGGTCGACTAGTGTAGGGACCAACGGTGGACCGAGCACTCGTCGAACTTCCCTCTTAAGGAGCTAAAACCGACATTGGAAGTTGTTTACGAACAGAAATAGAGTGTTCCCAGTAATGAGCTCAGTTCCTCCAAAACCGCTTTCTCCTTCATTTAAGAAACAAATGCAAAGCGTTCCTCCTGGATAAGGACGGCGAATTGTTGCACGGTAGATTGAGTTAAGCCCACTGTCATGTGTTGCGTTATGGCGAACTCGAACCAGTTGTTAAGTTCGTCCACCAGCCGTTGGGACATTATAGTGCTGTTGTGTGGTGAGTGTTTTGTCTTGTTCTAAAGTTGTTTTGCCTTCAAACTTTTCTGATCGCCCGAATATGTGTTTTATTACGAACACAAAAAACAAGGAAATCCAAGATTCCTGTGAATATGATCGTCTTGGACGGAAATTTTGAGGTGCTGTAACTCGGCTCTAACACTGCTTTATTAATAAAGCTAAGGACAGTTGGAATTTTCATAGTTTTGCAAAAACTTTTTCTACTGTAGAACCTTTAAGTTCTTGGAAGCGCTTCATAGACGTTTCTTGCTGCGACACGGTTGTTGATTTTTGCAGCTCATAATTACCGAGATGCTGCAGAAGTGGCGGTTGATTGGCGTGACGTACGGCAACATCAGCAGTGTTGTTTGTGAAATCTGCTGTTGACTGTTGTGGCGCAATAAGACTCAACCCTCCACGTTCACTATTCACGAATGCACGCGCCGCGGTTTTTTCCACCTCATCGTTTCTTTCTTTTCGTCGTTTCCTCAGGTCTCAGGAAAATATAGTGGAATAGTCTGATTGTATATCAACAAACTGTGACACTCACCATAAACTTCTCTTGGTGCAAATAGCTTTGGGAAATGTTTGGAAACTTCACGGTGCAGATATGCTGCTTAGTGTTGTCGACTTCTCTATAGAATCTGGTTTTCATCGAACAGATCGAATGGCACTATTTGATCTTTTCGTCGTGCAGATTTCACAGTGACGATTTACTTTTCGTTCAACTAAGTTTAACCCAAGAGCGTTTCTATCTTTCCTGTTAATCGGTGGTCTTCCAGTTCAACCGCAACCTTCCGACTAGTATTTCGAAGGGTCAGCAACTTCAGTTGT